CGTGCGTGTCGAGTGCGCGAAATGCAGGCGAGAGTGCGATTCGCCGGGTGTCCGCGCAACCCTCTGCGGAGATCGTGCATGTCGAGTGCGCGAAATACAGGCGAGAGTGCGATTTGGCGGATGCCTGCGCAACCCTCTGCGGAGACCGTGCGCGTCGAGTGGCGAAATGCAGGCGAGAGGTGTGGAGTATCTGGGGAGCTGGGAGATGAGCACTGGTGACTTTGTAGTACAACTGTAGTACGCGGAGTAGCTGGGGAGCTGGAAGCTCAGAACTGGTGACTTTGTAGTACAACTTTGGTACGCGGAGGAATCTGTGGAGCTGGAAGCTGAGAACTGGCGACTGCGTAGTACAACTTTAGTCCGCGGAGTATAGCTGTGGAGCTGGAAGATGAGAAGTGGCGACTTAGCAATACAACTTTAGTACGCAGAGTAGCTGGGGAGGGGGATGATGAGAACTGATGAGTGGGTAGTAGGTGAGAACTCGCGACTGTATAGTATAACTTTAGTACGCGGAGTAGCTGGGGAGCGGGAAGATGAGAACTGGCGAGTGGGTAGTACAACTTGAGGGCGTGGAGTATCTGGGGAGCTGGGAGATGAGCACTGGCGACTTTGTAGTACAACTGTAGTACGCGGAGTAGCTGGGGAGCGGGAAGCTCAGAACTGGTGACTTTGTAGTACAACTTTAGTACGCGGAGGAATCTGTGGAGCTGGAAGCTGAGAACTGGCGACTGCGTAGTACAACTTTAGTACGCGGAGTATAGCTGTGGAGCTGGAAGATGAGAAGTGGCGACTTAGCAATACAACTTTAGTACGCAGAGTAGCTGGGGAGCACTATGTCCAACTTCGGTTGTTGCCTTCCTCGCCATGCTGCCTTGTCTCACAAAAAAGGGGTCGGCGGCACCAGGGCGGAGCCCTTACAATACCGTAGTAGATCAGCACGCTTCAACATGTCTGCCCACCTTGATGGGAACTGTGCATGTGTCTGTGTACTTGAAGAGTTTTGTGAATTGTTCCTGACCCACCCTCCTCAAGTGTTTTAAATATGACTTGTTTTTGTGTACTCTGATTTGTTCACCTCAGTGGTCTCCTCAACCTGGAACAAACAGAAGTGCGCGCCTGAGCAAAAAGCTGGGCATCCTCGGTGGAGGGGCACTCCCAGCGGCACCTCGACCGGTCCACGGCAAGTTCCCATGGACAGTGGTCAACGGGAAGATCATGCCCGGAATTGGTTTAAGGGAATATGTACAAGAAACCCATGGAAAAAAAGAAAAAACATCATTTTGAGGGTGAACACATAGGTGAAAACCATTGGACCAAGGACTGGGTTTCACCACACCCAATGACTGCATTTCATGCGCCATTTGCCCGTGGGATGGAATCCGGCAAAAAAACACAGCCTTCCTGACCCGAGTTCCGCCAACAAAACTTTTGGAAAGGAGACAGGTGGCACAGCTTTGGAGGCTCTGCTGCAGGCCTTCCAACTTTATGTTCCCAAGTCGTTTGCAGCTTCAGCGAATGCCAAACCTCCAACAGCAACAGTCGGGTGCATCCAAGAGCGGACATCTCAAAACCTGTCATGTCGCAACAGGCCAGCAATCCAACCTCAATGTGTTGATCCCAAAGGTGCACACCATCGTCAAGAAGCAAAACTGCATAGCACATATTCTGGAAAACACTCTCTTATGGTATGAATCTTCTCCATCTTGTGGGGAATTGTTTGACCAATCCAGCCACCAACCAATGAAAACCACCCTGGGAATGCTTCAATCCTGAGCTCCGCACTGCTACTGCCTGGCATTGCGAGGAGAGGCTCGGGGGGGTGACAACCCATCAACCACCTAGACTGCCTAGACTGGGATGCCTATGCCATTGTGAAAATAAGCTGTGTGGAGTAGTCATGAGTAGTTCATGGCTGACCCTCCCCTGACACTGACCCCACTTGTTGTTGGATGGTGCTGGTACGTTGGTACGTTTGCCTTGGGGTCGC